ATTTTTAATGAGAAGGGTAGATGCCTGTCACTTCAGAAGAGAAAGGGAAAGAAAGTATTTGGTTCTAAAAAATTAAAAACTTGAGTTGACAATGACCCAGAACAGCTGTGTAGATGGCAAGGAACCCTTCCTTGCTTAGTTCAGAAGAATTCAGAGTAAGAGGCCCTTCTGGGTTCCCCAGGAAGTTCTCAAGGAATAAGACACAACCCTCACTCCCGAAGGGCTCTGTTGACTGAGCGTAAAAGAAGGCAAAGAAGTGTACAAGCGAAGAATCTGAGAGGGACAGTGGGAGGGTCTTCACCACTCCCCTGCCTTCCTTGTGAGCTTATAGCGATGCATCCAGCTTTTCCTTCTGGATACCAAAGGCGATTAAATTAAAGTCGGCTGCAAATGACTTGCCAGTGTCATGTTTGATTTTTTTATGGATTTTTAAAATCATTTCCTCTGAGATCAATCCTTATGCCATATTCTGCTTAGTTTCCAAGAGTACTCTTTACTTCCTTCTGTCCTTGATAGTCCTTTGCATTTTGCAGGCCTATTTCTGAGGTTAAATAACTCATTACATGTATAGAACCTTCTGCAAAGAGCCTAGAAATCTCTTTACCAGGTGTCTCCTCAAAGAGTAGGCACCAAGGAAAAAAAACAGATGTTGGAATACCCCTCTACGTTCTACATTTATTTCTTTTACAGTTTTAGAATCACACCTTTTGTTTAAACCAAGGTAAAGTTGTTAAGGCCAAGAAAATGTGGCCCTAACCAGTGGTCGGCAGACTGCGACTCGCGAGCCACATGCGGCTCTTTGGCCCCTTGAGTGTGGCTCTTCCACAAAATACCACGTGCGGGCGCCCACGTACAGTGTGATTGAAACTTTGTGGCCCATGCGCAGAAGTCGGCATTTTGTGGAAGAGCCCCACTCAAGGGGCCAAAGAGCCACATGTGGCTCGCGAGCCACAGTTTGTGGACCACTGCCCTAACCAAAAAGAAGACTCAGTGCAGAAAAGTCAGTCCCCAGGTAGAGGCTTCTTCCTTCCCGGTGGGCATATGCTGTTTGGTGTCTCTGACACCAGCTCATTCCTGTCTCTGAGCAGATGTTGATTTATAACTGGGTACTGAGGGAATGTGTTCCTTTTGTGGAATGTTGACCCTGATTTTCTGTGGTGTCAGCTAGGGCAACCCAGGCCTTCGTTGGGTAGATTTTAACCTAGCAGTTTGAAATTTTGATTATCTCATCGTTACTCTCCGTTGCCAAAGTCTTTGTCAGAACTACAAGTATGCCAGTAAATGACTGTGCTTGCCATTCTCACGAGGCACTGTCTCCTTAAGCCTGGATTTCTCTGAGTGAAATGCATGAGTGAGTGAGAGAATGATGTGTGCCAGCAGCATGCAAGGCGCTTTCCAGCATTAGAACACTTGTGGTTCCAGTGGCATTCTCTGTATGAGGAGTTCATTCCATTTCAGATGTTTCCCAGTATGAATCACGTTTCAAAATGCTGCATTTCATATTTCATTGAAATGAAGAGTAAAAGAAGTTGTTTATATTTTAAACAATGTGTTACTGTATAATCCCAATAGCTATAATTGTAGTTAATAACTAACATCTCTTGGAAAATGTCAAAGAAATATTTGATTTCTGATGCAACTTCGACTAAAATATTTGGAAATAAGTGCAAACATCCTTATTTTGCTAAATCACTTTAATTAGATAATTAAAAATTAATGTTTTCTAGAAATGCTGGTTATTTTCTATTCAGAAGTCTTGGCACATAATTCATGGGTAAAACTTGCGGTTGTGTATTGTTTTTGCTCTGCTGTGTGTCCTACTAGTGGTTCCATGCTGTTAAATATAAAGAAAAATAGACTAACCTAATTCTAAGTTCCAAATAATAGTTCCCAGTAATAGTATTTTGAGTTCTTATTTTTCCTTAGGTTTCTTTCCCCTCAAATTGGCTAGTTCATATCTTATCCACTTTTTACATAAATTTATACAAAAATACAATTATACAGAGAGATTTTTAATACTGTGTATTTGTTAACTAATAAACACAATTGTTAATTGGGTTTGGCTGCACAACTAAGCAAAATATTGGAATAACCCAGTGTGGTCTGGAGATATTTTAATGCACTTATTCTGGTTCAAGAACATTGGTGGTGGTGATTTCCTATTACTTTGGCTCATTTAGGTCATGATGGGGATGTTCCTTTTGGCTATGGCTCAGCAAGCTTTTCTGTAAAGGCCTAGACAAATATTTCTTTGTGAGCCATCCAGTCTCTGTCGCTGCTACTCAATTCTGCTGCTGAAACAGGAAAGCAGATATAGGCAGTATGTAAATGAAGGGGCATAGCAGTGTTCCAATAAAACTTTATTTACAAAAATGTGGAGGGCTAGGATTTTGCCCACGGGTCACAGTTGTTAATGTCGATCCCAAAGTTTACTTTGTGTAAGACCCTGCAATATTTGATTGCTTCTTTTCTTTGTATTTGAGTTCTGTAATTCATTTTTAAAGCGAAAAGATGGGTGTGTGTAAGATTGTATGTATTTGTGTCACTTAAAGCTATATATTTTGTTGTCTTGAAAATAGATACGCTCCTCCAGGTTTCATGATGCAGCTATCATGAGGGAGGCACATTTTTTGTTCCTGGGTTGTGCTGTCAGCCACCAACTGGCCTTGCCTTGTCATTTAATGCCACACTTACGGAGTCCCCAGGTAAAATGAAGTGTTGCTGTGGTGTCGAAATAGTAATCCTCGCTAAGTTCTGCCTGCTCATTGACCCGGGGCCCAAGACTCCGGATCACTGGGGCTGCAGAAACCCCTCCGCTTGAGTGCTTCTAGTCCTCCAACTGTACGATTGGATCGCTGACCTTTGTGCTGCAGAATCCGATCCTGAAAATTTTTCAGCAGCAGAAAATGGGTTATGTGCCATTTGGCAGCCACTATTGCCCTTTTAGACTGCAGAAGGGTCCTGCCCCTGCTCCCTCTAGACCTGCCCACATCTGAGAAGTTGTAGCCAAAGGTCAGCTCCCTTCCTCCTCCTCCTCTTCCTCCTCCTCCTCCTCCTCCTCCTCCTCGGCGTAACTCTCCTGAAGCCCTTCACTAGTCCTAGCATTATTTCAGAATGTCGATATGCATCAGATTTAAATTCAGGTACCTCTCAATCTCAACATTACACTTCATGTTGAACATTTTAAACTTTGCTTGAGCCCAGCAGAACTCATGAGATGACAGCACCATATCCCCAGTAGATACACTGCAATGCACTGATTTTTATTTCATCTTGCTCAAAGAAAACTATAGTATTACTGTGCCTGTTACCTCTAAGACCTAGTCTAGTCCAACCTCTGAGATCATCAAGCTTAACAATACCCAAATCACTGGATCTCATTCACATTAAGACCTGACCAGAGCTAATAGATCTCTCACTTAGAAGTTTATCAAACATTTCACGATTTTTGGAAATTCTAGAGGAGGGGAAGCCTGTAGTCAGAGGGACAGGGAACACACATTGTAAATGAGCTCCCTCTCTAGGTCCAACACACTATGCAGGTCACTGCAGCTCAGTGTGAAAGTGAGTGAGATGACAAACACATAAACCCACACACGGAGGATTCTAAGCCACTGCAAATGTCTTGCAGCTACTGGCTACTGCAGAATTGGACTGCAGATTGCATACCAGAAACTTCCATGGAGACAAGCTCAAGCTCTGGGGGAAAATTATTTTTTAGGAAATTTAGAAGTTAGCTTTTGTTGGATTAATTAAAGTATCCCCAGTTTTAATTACTGGATTTGGAAGTTGAAATGCTATTGCTCAATCCTGCTGGTCTCAAATTCACTGATAGAATTTTTCTTAAACTATTTAACTGGGGTAAGTTTAATCTCTTGAATCAGTACCCACTGACCGCTCCTGAACTGATTTCCAGTCGTGTCCTCTGTATGTGATTTTTATAAATTAAAGGTAATATTGTATATTAAAGATCAAATAAAGATGTTCTTTAAGTGAAGAGTCTTTGTTTACCCTTCATTTGTACCCAGTGCTGACCACACAGTTCAATCTTCTTCCTGTTACAGAACAAATTTGCCTCTTACAATAACTGACAGTCTTCCGTCTCCCACATCCAGAGAATGTTTCCTTTGGTTCGGCTGATCGTGTCACGTTCCTTGATGTTATAGAAAGGTGAAGACCGGGCTTAAAGGTAATTTTTATTTCATCTTGCTCAAAGAAAACTATAGTATTACTGTGCCTGTTACCTCTAAGACCTAGTCTAGTCCAACCTCTGAGATCATCAAGCTTAACAATACCCAAATCACTGGATCTCATTCACATTAAGACCTGACCAGAGCTAATAGATCTCTCACTTAGAAGTTTATCAAACATTTCACGATTTTTGGAAATTCTAGAGGAGGGGAAGCCTGTAGTCAGAGGGACAGGGAACACACATTGTAAATGAGCTCCCTCTCTAGGTCCAACACACTATGCAGGTCACTGCAGCTCAGTGTGAAAGTGAGTGAGATGACAAACACATAAACCCACACACGGAGGATTCTAAGCCACTGCAAATGTCTTGCAGCTACTGGCTACTGCAGAATTGGACTGCAGATTGCATACCAGAAACTTCCATGGAGACAAGCTCAAGCTCTGGGGGAAAATTATTTTTTAGGAAATTTAGAAGTTAGCTTTTGTTGGATTAATTAAAGTATCCCCAGTTTTAATTACTGGATTTGGAAGTTGAAATGCTATTGCTCAATCCTGCTGGTCTCAAATTCACTGATAGAATTTTTCTTAAACTATTTAACTGGGGTAAGTTTAATCTCTTGAATCAGTACCCACTGACCGCTCCTGAACTGATTTCCAGTCGTGTCCTCTGTATGTGATTTTTATAAATTAAAGGTAATATTGTATATTAAAGATCAAATAAAGATGTTCTTTAAGTGAAGAGTCTTTGTTTACCCTTCATTTGTACCCAGTGCTGACCACACAGTTCAATCTTCTTCCTGTTACAGAACAAATTTGCCTCTTACAATAACTGACAGTCTTCCGTCTCCCACATCCAGAGAATGTTTCCTTTGGTTCGGCTGATCGTGTCACGTTCCTTGATGTTATAGAAAGGTGAAGACCGGGCTTAAAGGTAATTTTTATTTCATCTTGCTCAAAGAAAACTATAGTATTACTGTGCCTGTTACCTCTAAGACCTAGTCTAGTCCAACCTCTGAGATCATCAAGCTTAACAATACCCAAATCACTGGATCTCATTCACATTAAGACCTGACCTGACTGTGCTTAAGGAATAGAATCAGTTAGACTGTAGATAGTGGTTTATAATCTAGCGATACTGTAAATGCAGATGATATTTAAAACCCTGTACTCGGGGAGCATCAAGGAAAGTAGTGGTAAAACCTGAAATACCAGCCCATTTATATCCTCCAGGTCTAATTCTTCCTGGCACAGTGGATTTCAACCTAATCAAAATTTTAAACTAGGAACTTGACGCTGTGAATGTAATTAATTGTGGGCTTACCTTTTCAGAAGCAACTAAAGCAGGACCAGATAAAAGAATAAGGATCCCTGAGTGACTGTGATTTGATAAAATCTGGGCCTTTCTCTGTCTACCAGTAGCTGAAATTTTCATTATTTCACTGAGTTACAAAAGACTGTCAACAACATGCAAATAGCATTCATATTAAGAGTATGGGATCCTCACTGAGAGTAGATTCTTCAAGTAACTGACATGTGAACTGAATTTTAAGAGGAAGTAGAGTTTGGAGATAAGGGAGAAAGGAGCTATTTGACAAGGCACAGATACCTGAAGAAGCAGTGGGAATGAGGTCCAAAGCAAGGTAGGAAGACTAGCCTTGAACCCGAGAAGGAACATCCACTTCACTGAGACCTGTAACACAGTCTCACACTGTCCTTTTCAGGCCCTGAAACCACAGTGTCCATGGCCCAGGGGCACCCGTCCAGCCCCGCACTGGCTCTCCCTTCCGAAGTCGGTTCCGTATCTACCAAATAGCCCATAAGTTACAAGAAGAAAAAGGGGAGGATGTCATTTTGGAAGAGGTTACGGGACTTCCCTGAAAATATCGTGCAAAAATACTTATCAAAACTTTAGATGACTCCCCAAAATAATGAGCATGGGTAGTGTTTTAAAACAATTCAGTAGTAAGAAATGTGTGCCACCAGAGGGCGCTAATCAATCAATCTTGTTCTCTCTCCCTCCCTTTCCCTCTCTCTCCCTCTCTCTCAGTGAAACCTCTGACTACATTTTGCTGCACCCTGACATTGACTAACAGAGGGACGCCACGGCTCAGCTGCCAGGTAAGCCTGTGACTAAGGACCTGCTAGGACCCACAGTAACCTCAGCACAGGATTCCGCCACCCTGGGCTCAGGCCCCATTGAAACTAAGTCAGTGATGAAATGTTTGTCAGACAGAAGACAAATATTGCCTTAAAAAGACTTCCATTTCTTTCCAAATATGACCTCCCCTTAGAAAGGACTTTGAACTAATAGGTAAAAGTTATTAGAAGATGAAAAATATATCAGAAGCCAGACCTAGAACAAGTCTGATTTGAACCCTACAAATAATTTTAGCTGACACGCTATGGCATAGTATACTTAGTGGAATTTAAAAATCAAATTATAATTACAGTACTTTTTTATTTTTATTGGGTTTATTGTGGTGTCTTTGGTTAATATTTTATAGGTTTCAGGTGTACAATTCTGTAACATATCATCTGTATATTGTGTTGTGTGACACCTCCCCAAGTCAAGTCTCCTTCCAGCACCACTCACAGCTATTCTTGTTTATATGACGCTGCTCGAGTCCTTTTGGAATTTTTTTTTCTTGAAACTTTCATTGAACATGTATGTGGCAAGACTCATGTTTACGGGAGATACAGAGCCAACTATGATACTTGTGTGTCCTCTGGGCTAGACGAGGGTCAATGGGCGAGCCAGAAATTATGTTCCCTAGTCAAGGTGTGTACCGGGAGCTACTGGAGCTCAGAGAAGAACCTGCTGGGGTGGGGCAGGAGGGTGTGGTGGAAAGAGAGCAAAAGAATCCCAACCATCCTGACTCCTGACTCCCGCATTTGGAGAAGCATTTGACTAAAATTCAAGGAATGACAAGTTTGTCAGATGTGATAGGAATCGGCTGTAACAAACCAGGCAAAGACATTACAGGAAAAGGAAACATCCCGTTTAAGATTTAGGAGGGTCGCAATTGGGAATCTGTCCTTCAGCATATTAATTTTCTGAGTGGGGCTTGAGCGTAAGCTGTTGGTCGTATGAACCTGGGGTTTAGGAGTCTGGGCTGCAGATAGGAATCTGGCTGATCAGCAAGTAGCAGTTGGGACTTGTTGAGATCACCTAGGGACTTGGGTCACTTAGGGGAGAGAGGGGAGCGAACCCGTCCCAGCGTCTACAGGTCTGTGAGCTGAGAGGTGGGAGGTGGGGAGAACTATCCTGGGACTGAAGTTACCTGCAGACTTTCCATGCACCCTCGCATGGAGGACAGTTTAAAAAGCCAAATGAGATTTTAAAAACAAAAGAAAAATTATTTTTTTAAGGCATTTAAGAACGGCAAGCCATTGAGGGGTTGGTCAGACCAAAATCGAGGAGGAGTGACCCCAAAGGGAGAAGCGACCCAGCTGCCTTTGACCCAAGGACGTGGTGACAAGGAAGCCTGACCGGGAGGGACACCGAGCTCCTCGGCTGTGCCCAGGGGAGCATTAGGCCCGTCCCACCTGGATTCCCGGGCTGTGTCCAGGCATTAGTGGGACCCTATGTGGCACCCTGTGAGGCACCGTCAGAAAGGACGAGGGCAGGGCCTCTGTCCCACAATCCAGGGGCTCGGGACAGCACAGGTGACCTGGAGGAGGGTCCCTCTTTCCTCTCTCTGCCTCAGGAGCCCACAGCAGTGTGGGGCACGGGGAGGGCCCGGAGGGGGCACCGAGGAGCGCCTGAGGGTCTGGTAAGCCACAGTGCACCTCGGAGGCTCTGTCCCAGCCAGGCCACCAGCACAGCACGCAGGAGCGGCCCACGTGGCTTTGGACCAGGCTCCAGGCAGGGAACAGGGACCGCTGGGGACTGAAGCAAAGGGGACTCATGAGAAGGACACGGGCTCAGTCCCTGCAGAGAGCTGGAGGCACAGGCTTGCGGAATGGGCAGGAACTAGGGGTTCAGGACACCAGACCCCAGAAACCCCCAGGCAGGAGGCCGCTGCCAGGCACAAGCCTCACCGTGGGACCATCACAGACCTGTTCTTGGCGGGCCTGGCTTTGCAGGTGTGAAGTTTGGGTTTTGAGGTGAACAGTGAGGAGGGGTTCAAGTGCTCGCTCTGGCTAGCAGGGTGAGGGCACTCTCCGCTCACTGAGACTCCGGTAGGCGTGGGTTCTCTGACACTCAGCAGTCAGTCTAGGCGGGGCTGGCAGCAGTGGCACGAGGACGGCAGGAATCCCTTGAAGTCCAACACTCGGTGCAAGTCCCAGGACTGGTGCGTATTCACCGTGTGAGCGTGAGCCATGAGTCTAACATGTCTGAGGTTCTATTTTCTCACTGGGAACTGGGGTGATAGCGCACCTTGAACAGGTGGCTGTCCCCACATGCATCCTGAGGGCAGGCCAGCTGCGGCTCAGACGTCCTTGCTTCCTTCCCCAGCCTGTGGACTGGAGCCCAGCTGAGGGTCAGGCTTTGCTCACAGACCGGCCACTCAACCGCAGCCTTGCTCAACCCCCCGGCCACCACGGCTCCTGCGTGTGGAAGGTGCTGCTGAACATCGTGCGGTTATAAATCCTCGGCAACTCAGATTCCTGGCTTTCAGCTTAACGATAATCACCTGTACTCCACGCCTTCTAAAATGCCAGGCACCAGGCTCATCCCATCACAAACACCCTCCTGCCATCCTCAGAACAGCAGGAGGTAGGTACTGTGATTTCTCCCATTTTCAGATGAGCAGACAGCCTTAGAGAGGCTAAGCTGCTTCCCCGTGGTCCTGTGAAATGAGTGCACCCCTAACCACTGGGACACACCACCTCTGACAGCGGCTGACTGAGCCCACCCACAAGCCCGGCCCTGGCCATGCCGCTCACAGCAGGAAGCCAGCCTTCCCTGAGAAGTTATGAGGATCCTGTGTTTCCTGCAGAGCTGAGGGGCTGTTCTTCCACATCCAAGTCCAAGCGTGTGCCAGGGCTGGAGCGCTGGGCGGCCCTCACGGGTCTGTCCCTAACGAGATCTCAGGAGAACCCCGGCCCTCACTGGGGAGAGGCCCCAGGGAGAGGCCCACATGGGCCTGAGGGTCATCTGTGCTGGGGCTACCACTTACAGGAGCCGTGCTGTCCACGGGGGACCCCGAAGCGCTCAAGAATGAGAAGGCTAGACCTCTGGAAGCCTCCAGGCTGGGCGAGGACATCCTCTTGAAGAGGCACCAGTGTGACATGATGGTGGACAGTTCCCTCTGGGCACTCAGGGCCCAGCATCCCACAGACCAGATCCTGAAGTGGCAGCCCTGTGTGTGGAGGGCAGCGGGAAGCAGCTCGCACCTGCTCGGGCAGGAGCAGCACGGTTCATCTTACCCCTTTGAGGACCTGCTTCCAAGAAACACAAAAAGAAACATTCTGAGGACTGGGTATTTTTCCACTTGGCAAACGTCTGTGATTTGTAGGACACATGGTACTCTGTCCCGACTCTGGTCCTTTCCTTCTTCCTCCACCCACGATCCTGTCCGCCTGGCTCAGGCCGAGGGCCCAGGTCAGCTGCACACTCAGCTCTGGGCCTGTGTCCCTCAATGGGAGGACCATGGAGAGCGCAAGGAGAGGGGCCGCCCAGCTGCCACCAGAGCCAGCAAAGTTTCTCGAAAAGCAAACGTCCACCTTGGTTTCTCTGGAGCCAGTAGGTGTCAGACGGACCTGAGTGGGCATGTTTCCTGGTTTTGCAGCGTGTCCGCAGAGTAGGGGATGCGCAGGGCAAAGCCACCCGCCACCCTGGCCACAGAATGAAGTTTCTGTGGCTCTCACCAGCTGGGGCCCAACAGCCACCAGCATCCTCCTAAAAGAAGCTAGAATTTTTTAAAAAATCTAGTTTGAAGGGGTCCTTGAGACTGTCCTCAGAGACAATTTGCAAATTAGGAAACCCAAAAGAAAAAAGAGAGAGAGCGGGAAGAGGTTATTTAAAAAATGTATTCAAGCAGCATTTGTTTATTTACAAAGTACATGCTATAATCATTAGTGCTGGGTCACTAGAAGGTTTACAGAGATTAGTTATATTTAGTCCTTACCCTCAGGGACCTATCAGGAGAATCACCCCCAAAAGGGCTTCATCCCATCTAGTGTTTCTGTCCATAATTTTTAGGTCTGCTTTGCTTTGGCAGAAGTGACTCAGCTAACAATTGGGCTGAAGACATTTGAAATTAGAGTTAGTGTAGCCAATCTGAGTTCAGCCCAACTCAGCGGCGCTGAGTGAGCATCTGCTATATGGTAGGTACTGGGCCCAGCACCAGGGGTGCAGAGGTGAATGACATATAGTCCCTGTTCTCAAGGTTACAGTCTAAATGTATCCGGACTTTGAGTGGAATAAATGCCATGAAGAGGCATGACATGCATGGGCAGAGAGAGAAGGACCACGTGGCTGGAAATCCGGATGCTTTCTGAAGAAGGTGGCAATTACAAGTTAAAACAGCCCTCCCCAACCTCTGTCTGTCCTATCCTCTTTGCTCTCCCCAGCCAAGTCCATTTATTCATGCATTTAGTCATTCATTCATTCACTAAATATTTATTAAGCTCCAAGGTGTCCGCAGTACTGTTTGAGATATGGGGATACAGGATGAGTAACACAGATAAAGTCCCAACAATCTGCATACATTCCAGTAGAGTGGGGATGGATGACCGAGACCAACAAACGAACAAAATAAATAAGAGGTCAGTGATGCTGTAAATACAAATAGAACAGGGCGAAGGAGACAACTAGTGAGTGTGGATGGGGAAGGCATGTGCGATTCCACACGAGGTCTTTGAGAAGGCTTCTCGAAGGTGGAGACATCCGCGCAAGGACCCAAGTGAAGAGGCAGAGTGAGCCTGAGCCCTTTGGGGAAGGGGTTGGGGGGACGGAGAGTATTCCTGGTAGAGGGGACAGTAAGTACAAAGGCCTGAGGCAGAAACACATTTGATGGCCAATTGGCAGGAGCATCCTGAATGAGTGAATGAGCAGAAGAACAGTGAGAGACCTTGGATGGAGAGGCAGACAGGGCCCTGACTGGGGGGGCCATGTGAGGAGTTCAGATTGTATCCACGGGTGATGGAAGCCCCTGGAGGGCTTAATGATCTGATTTGGGTTTTACCAGATGATTGTGGCTGTGGGGTTGAAAAAAAAGCTTGAAAAGTTCAAGACAGGAAGCAAGGACAACTTGTAAAATATTTTCAATTTGAGAAAAAATAGAGTTGACCTTTCTGATGAAGAGAAAGAACAGGAGTCAAGCTGGGGGTGGTGGACTTCAGGGCTCAAGTTTGGACCTCGGTTTAACATGCACTTTAGATGTCTGAGTGGAGACACTGAGCAGGCAGTTGGGATAGTTGAGTCTGAACTTCAGGGAGGAGTCAAAAATACCCACAGCCACCCAGAAGGCGAGGGAGGTGGGACTCCTGATAGAGTGTGAGATTTGGCTGCAGGACATTTTACGACTTCCTTTCTTAGAGAAGCCTCAATAGAAGGTTGAGGGTAAAAGCCAAATTGTGGGTGTGAAGACAATGAGTAGAGATTATTCTCTCAAAAGAGCCAAACATTTTGGCTTTGTTCACTCTCTATTTCTTTGTTTTCTATTTCATTAATTTCCACTCTTTATTATCTCCTCCTTTCTACTATCTTTGGGTTTTCTGTTCTTTTTTTAAACTCCTAGTGTAGAGTCTTAACTAATTTTCAGCTTTCCTTCTTTTCTGATGGAATGTTTCAGGATATAAAAGTTTCCAAAAATCGCATATGCTGCATTCCACAGGTTTTGATATGTGGTGACTTCACCCTCATTTCATTCTGCGTATTTAACATTTTCATCCTGAATTGTTCTTTGACCTTGCCTTCTGTCTCATTCCGACAAGGATGCCATTACAGAGATAAGTTTACGGCAGAACACCAGCAAAAGTGACCGACAGATTTGAATAACACACAAATGGACATTCTGGCAATGAAAAAGGTAAGCACTGAAATGAAAATCACATTTGATGGATAAAACAGAAGATGAGATGCACCAAAGGAGAATTTATTTAGAATGCAGCAAAGAAATATAAAAATACGTACAAAATGGAAGAGTTCTCCATCAAAGAAAGAACGAGAAGGCCTCATATATCTAATTGGAGTTCTGAAATAGGGACTATAGAGAGAATGGAAGCGAGGCGTAAGGATATTCTAGAAATGATGAGATATGCAGATGAACCCAGATCCAGTATAAACTATCCTGAGGAGGCTAAATTAAAAACAAACCCATGCCTAGACACATTGTAGTAAAATGGCAAAACGTCAAAGACAGAAGGTCTTGAAAGCAGCCAGAAAGAAAAGACAGATGACTGAAAAAGGACAGTTAGAATGACAGTTGACTTCTCCACAGAACAATGGAAACCAGAAAACGAGCCCTGAAGTACTGAGTGGAAATAGCTGTCAACCTGGACGTGTGTACTCAGCAGAAGTATCATTCATGAATAAGAGCAACATACTGACAGGAACTATTCTAAAGAGTAAACTTCAAGGGCCCTGGCTGGGGGCTTCAGGTGGTTGGGGCATTGTCCCGTGCACCAAGAGGTGGGAGGTTCAATTCCCAGTCAGGGCATATACCTAGGTTGCAGGTTTGATTCCCAGCCTTGGTTAGGGTGCGTGTAGGAGCAGCCGATGGATGTTTCTCTCTCACATTGATCTCTCTCTTTCTCTCTCTCTCTCTCTTTCTCTCCCCCCCCCTCCCTCTGTCAAAAATCAATGAATGTATTCTCTGTAGAGAGCGGCTACAGCATTTGGACAGGTTCAAGCCTCAGACTAACGAGAGAGCATGGTCCTCTCGTGGCAAAGCCACGTGCAAGTCCCAGCTTGGAGGGCAAAGCCCTCCCAGCACAATTATAGCCAAAGGCTATAGTTGTGAGCTTGACCTTATGGTCCGAACCTGTGGTCCCGGGTGGCTAAGTGATAGAGGCTGCGGGAGGGGCAGCAAGTGCTGCCAAAACAAAGCTTGGTAGGGTTCAGGTGCATGTAACTGAGTAGATTCAAAACCCGCGAGAACACTGTAAACATCTTGACCACGCCCGTACTTTGCCTCATGGAATCTGGCTATAAATAAAGACTTGGCTTGCAGGCTGTGGCACTGTCTCTCCATCCGAGAGCAGCATCCCACCTAGCCCCAGCTTTATTCTCTTGTCTGTCTTCTTTAATTTTTCACCACCTCTCCTCAGGTTCACCCCTCTCCATGCCGAGAGCGGCACAGTTCTCAGGTGAGGATAAAATAAAAATAAACTTCAAGGAAGAAAATGATGCCAACAGTATGGTGTCATTTGCAAGAAATGATGGTAAGCAAATAAATGGTAACTATAGCAGTAAACTCAAAATGTCTTTTGCTGAGTTAAAAAAAATATTCTAAATAGCACTCTGAGTTCAGAGGGAAAGAAATGGAGCTAAATTCTAGGAGAGGATGGAAATTATAGTTCAACTTTAAGATTTTAGGTTAACAATGGACACAGACACCAGGGGGGTGAGGGCATAAGTGAGGGGGGTGGGCAATGGGGTGTAAGGACACATATGTAATCAATAAAGAAAGAAAAAAAGGATTTTAGATTAAATATGTGTGACAAACTTTGAAGGCAACCACTAAAAGAATAAAATAGCTTGCAAGCATTTCACCTGTGTAGAGAGGGAAAAAATGAAATACAGGAAAATATTTGATCAATTGTTTTAACAGGCAAGGATGAGGGATGACAGAAATCGCCAAGTGAAAATAAAACCGCTTTGCTCTTTATGCAAGGCAAGACTGAATGACAAGGCACGGAAAAGTCCCTGCCCCATCACGGAGTTTAACACGAGAGTGACTGGTCAGACGTGTGCTGGTGGTGACACTGTCCGTGCATGGAGTGTGGACTGTGAGGGGCCAGGCGGGAGGCTGAGCGATAGTTAGGAAGCTTTACCACCATCTAGGCCAGACGTGACCAGCGCCTGGGCCGAGGCTGTGTCGGTGACAGCGGGGGGGGGGCAGGCAGAGAGGGCTGGGAGGTGAGAAAGACATCCTGAGATAAAGCCCCCAGTGGGTAAGCTCTTCAAGTCAAAATGACAGCCACCGCCCGGCCGGTGGTATGGCTCAGTCAGGAGGTCACGGTTCAATTCCTGGTCAGGGCATATGCCCGGGTTGCAGGCTTGATCCCCAGTGTGGGCCATGCAGGAGGCAGCCAATCAATGATTTCACTCTCATCATTGATGTTTCTATCTCTTTCTCCTCTCCCTCTCCCTTCCTCTCTGAAATAAAAACATAATAATTTTTTGGTTTAATCGACAGCCACAGGCCTCTGATTTCACACTGGGAAACGGAAGCACTCATCCCATGGCCAGGTCTGGATTCTGGGCTCCACATCAAGGCATCAGGAACTGGGAGAGGCGGACCGTTCCCTCACAGGTGACGTCATCCATGCTCTAGGCAGTCTGCCTTGTGGGAGGTGCCTGTCCCATGGTCGCCTTGAAAACCTGTCTCTGCAATTGTCATTTGAGGTGCTCCTCCCTCGCAACTAGACAAACACTGGGTGGAGGAGAGAGAAACACGGGCACTACCTTCAAACTACCAAGCCTGATGTCCCTGCCACAAAAATTCCTTCCGCTTGAAGGAAGCGTGGCTGACTCCGCCTCCTGCTCTTCGTTCTTCACACCTCAGGACAGGAGGGAGGAGATCCTATTGTTTGGTTAGGTCAGGCGCACAGTGCTTTTCACATTTCCATTTACAGATGAGGGACAGCGGCCCAGATGTGGATGTGGCCTGCCCACGGTCGCTCAGCAGTCAGCGGCCACACTGAGAAGGGAAACCAGTTGTCTGGGGCGGGGTCAGTTTGTCTCTGCTGTCAGGTGTGAATCTGTTTTGGTTTTAAGAGGCAGGCAGCGGAAGAGAAACTGGCCGACTCAAGCCTGTATTTCCATCCACCCACTGGTCTTCCTCCTCCTTTATGTAAAGAGGTTTGGTTTTGTTCCAACAAATAAGGAAGATTCTGAGATGACTATAGAACCTTGCATTTTGATTTTGACAGATTTTTCAAGCTCAAGTGTCACAAGGCAATTCTTAAGAAAAAGACCAGCATCCTCACAACAGTCAGTGAAAGAGAAAATAGAAGAGGAAAGCATTAAAGTATTTCTTATTTAAGAGAGTTTCCCCCAACTAATAAACACCAGTTTATATGTTGGAAGGACTATCTAAGTGTCCATCACAGAAGATGACAGGCTACGTTATCTGGAACGGTGATGTTTCTAAAACATCGTGGATAAAGAGCACAGTCTGAAAAGCTGCTAAAGAGACACGGGCGGGCAGGGTGCTCAAGGTCATATACAGAGGAGCAGGAGTCAGGAGGACTTGGGTTTCTCAATAGTAACCCTGGAAGCTAGAACATACGGGCCCTTGCTTTCAATATTCTGTGCGAAAAGCATTTTCAACCTAGAATTTTACATTTGGTCAGACTCTCAAGCAAGGACATTTTCTGACAAGCCAGGTCTTAAATATTTGCCACCTCCTGAGAGATGCTGAGAATGGCCAGCTAACCTCCACATTTGGCTGAAGCCCAAAGCCACCATCATCCAATGAGCTTTTGAGACACGTGACTACATCAGAAATTTTATTTTTAAAGAAGACTACTTAATATGTTTTGAATATTCCAAGTTTCAGAGGTTGGTCTTTAAAGTTCGGAGTTAGAACCAGTAACCATCATTTGTCAGCACTGGAAGCGGCTCGATGACGCCTGTGGTCATTGTGTTTGTCACACACAGATGCCCACTTCCCGCTCAGGTTTGGGGGCAGGGTGTTGGGGGAGAGAAAGGTATTTTTAGTGTCTCCTTGCCAGTACTGCGGAGTTATTCTTTTCTTTTCTCCACATAACTAAGGTAATGTTTATTTCGTTTTCAACTCCTACTTAGAGATTTGGTTGCTGATGAAGATGCTACTTAACTGAAGTTCTGTACTGTTGGAATATCTTCATAACGAAACTTTAGATTTTTGTTCTGACACCAATTTGTACTTTTTGAAACCTTGGATAAACAGGTGTGGAAATAAAGTAACAAGACTAGCTTTCAGAATAACAATCTATAAATTTCCATCTGCATCGGAGATTTTATTGCGCGCATGCCAAATTCAGCATTTTCCCCAGAGAAGAAAGAAAGGGGGGGGTCTTTTTTTTAACCGGCCTAACTTAAGAAAAAGGGGCACTGTCAAGGTTCATTATTCTGGTTACTTCTACAGCAGATTCTAGCAAATGAATTAGTTTCTCTGCAAATCAGCTTGTGGGTGTTAGCAAATCCCACTCAGCTGGTATTACTATATAGTAAGTCATTTTTTAAAAATAATCAAGTCTGCTTTTTCATCTTGTTTGACAATCTCAAATAAATGGCAAAACAATTCCAGAGTCACATACTTTCTCTTTGGCTAAAGAAGAAGAATGATGAAAATGGCCCACTATTTTGTTTCGGCCTGTAATTCTGGTCAAATATGCAGTTACAATTTCATTCTTAATATACAGTTTAAGGATGCATACAAAATTTTTTGCTTGTGATTCCTATATCACTTACTTCCTTCACTATGATTTTTCTATTGGCAACCTAAAGATTGGTTTCCTACCCTATGAATATGTTTTCTACCAGTTTCATCGTTCTCTTGCTGAGACTTTCCCAGCTAGAACACCCTAACTAAACACTGAGAGAGAAAACATACAGCATCAACATTCTCACAGATAATCCTGGTTTTGAAGTTATCAGACATTATTCTAAAAAATAATTGATTGGTATTTTTAAGAACAGATGACAAGACGGAAATTTCACCAGAGAATTGAAACCTATAAAAAGAGTCACATGGAAATGACAGGACTGAAAAAAGTAACTGAAATGAAGCATTCCCTGGTTAGCTGAACTTCTTACACAGCAGAAGAGAGAATTCATGGCGAGGAAGACATGTTAATAGAAAACACCGAAGTGAGGAGAGAGAGAAAAAAGATGGAAAACAGACAAAGAGTGGGAGATGCATGTGAAACAAAGAAAGGGTCTAGTACAAATGTTATTAATATCTCAGAAGGAGAGAGAAAAGAGAAAGGGACAGAGGATGCTTTAAGAACCACGACCTCGTTTTGTCCTAAAAACTTTCTTTTTTACACATTACTTATATATTTATTATTATGTCTGGGTTGAAGATGATTCACCATGGATGATGTTTGAAGTTTTTTCCTCCTTATGAAATGTTGAAGGGACAAAGTACCTCCTCACAGGCAAAATTTCTTGAAATAGCCATGGCCTAAATAGAATTAAATAACAAAAAGCGAAACATAGTTCTTAAAGTTTATTTTGTTAGTGTTGTGAATGCTGGTACATCAAACCATTCTGTGATGATTCAAATTATGTTGTAATGTAACCTCTATTATCCTTTTTGTGGAGCTTAACTTTTTTTTTAAACATTTTTAGTTCAAAAATTTCTTCAAATAGTTATCTGACTAACCACTCTATCTTACCCTTCATATCAACTGATAATCTGTTTCCTATGTATTCAACTATTCAAATGTTTTTTCATAACAGTTTTTAAATAGAATAACTCATTAATTATGGCAGCATTTCAATGCAGAAGAATTAGACATACATTTATATTCAACTTATTTATAGAATTAAAACATATTCTATACACAAGGAGATACTCCAAAATACATCTAAAATGATGACTTATACTTGAAGGTAAATATTCTAATATTGTGCTAATTATTACTGACATTTTGGTGCTAATTAGATATGACAGTGACTCTCAAGGTCACACAATTATTGACTGTCACAAACTCATGGATGCCAGGAGTTATGTTGAAGCATGCCTGTGGCTCTCTGGCCTTCTCAAGTCTGAGGCTCAATACCAAGGCCAAAACTAGTTCCCAGCCCATGCATACCATCCCCCATTTCTCAGGGGGTCTTCTACCAAAATGAATGTGTGAACCAAGAAAGAAGAAAGCATGAGATTCAGGCAACACAAGGTCCAGCTTAACGGAGGGAGGAAGCAAATCTCTAGTTGATGGTGAAAGGCTTTGGGTCCACAGCTGTGAAACAGGTGTAGCCGGCAGCCAGTCCAGAGGATCCAGAGATAGAGCTCCAGGAAGCTGAACTTGATAGAATATCTGATGTGTCTGAGGGGCAGGGGAAGTGGGGAAGGGTTAGATGGAGAGGTGAGAGCTGAGGTTAGGGTTAGGGTTAGGGTTAGAGTTAGGGTTAAGGTTAGTGATAGCTATGGAAACTTGTGTCAGACACACACTCTACGAGCCTCTTCTAGCTGTTGCTGCAGTGGGCCAGCCAGCAGTCCCCAGAGTTTGTGTACTCCCATCACGGCCAGTGTTGGGTGAGACCCTTTGCCACGGGGGGTGGGACCTAGGCAGCCCAAGAAGAGACCGGATAATGCAACCTGGACGTGCCTGGAAATACATTCACAGTGAGAAAACATACCGAAGTGAGAGACCAGAGACAGGAAGGAGGCGACAGATGAATTCTCTTTCCTTCTCTTCCATGGCGGATTGCAAAGATGTGGTTTCACCTTGCAGCTCGCTCAGTTGGAGAAATCGCAGGTGCAATTGAACATACCTGGCCACGCCACCGGCTGCAGCTCCTCATGGCTCTGGTGTCACCACGGTGGTGACACACCACTTTGCATTGTTGCCCGTCTTCAAAAGATACATTTAAAAACACATTTCCAGTGCTAGTTATGACAAAGGGCAAGACTGTGGTTGTGTTGCTGTTCACTCTAAGGTGGAGTTAGGGTGTCTGTTTCACTGCTAAGGGAACTTGCAGTTTTCTGGAGTAATTGTGCCTTTTTCTGTCTCCTCTAGCTCAGGTGATCTGCCTGTGATGCTCCTCAAAGGAGTGAACGTCTCATCAGAACTTCCTGCAGTCAGCAGGGGGCCTGCATCACCTGCAGTGATGGTGAGGAGCCCCCGGCTGCTGCTGCGTGAGTCAGACCCAGCCTGCACCCTCACTCCGAGGCCACTGAGCACCAGACACGGGGCTTCCCCCTGCCCAGGTGGACTCTGCCCTGCCCTGGCGGGAGTCCAGCTGCTGGCAGCTCTGGCAGCCGCTGCAAATCAGAAGCCAGGGCCATGGACGGAGCTGCTTGAAAGCACCCTCTCGGGCGGGAGCTTCTGTTGTGCCGGCCAAGAAGCCTCGTGGTTTCCCAGGACGGCGCTGTCCAGACTGGTGGCTGGAGTTGCCCAGGGCACAGACCCATCGGAGGGAGGGATTGCGTTAGCCTGGGAGGAGGTACCCACTAAGCGCCAGATGCCCCGCTCGGCCTTTGTGAGCACGGTCGCTAACCCCACAACAACTTGGCAGGTTTGTAAGTCTTGTTCTGTCCTGGAGATGAGAACCTGGCGTTCAGAGAGGTCAAGTAACTGGCCAAAGGCACAGAGCACTAACTGGGGGATCAAAGATCCATCCATCCATCCATCCATCCACCCATCCAGTGCCCCATGTTTCCCACTAACATCCCACTGGCCCCCTTCCAGGAGCAGGCCAGGCAGTGGTGCTGGATGCTGAGAACAAGCAATTGGTGCAGAGGTTCCCGGGGAGAAGGGTCCCAGCATCTGTCTGCTCCCAGATCACTGCCACAGCCGGGGCTAGGGGACAGCTCAAGCCAACGGCAGCACCTGTGAGGCTCCGGCAAAGGGCTTCATCATTGTCATCATCACGGCTGTCATTGTGGTTTGGCTGCACGCTCCACAGCCGATGAATGCCTTGCACATCCCTCCTTTTGTTTGAACTATAACACCTTGCCAAGGAGATGTTAACGATTCTCAGAATGAAACTCAGAAACGTCCTTCCTCCCACAATCTTCCTTCCCCGTGAGTGGTCAGGGTAGCCCCTCTGGGGGTGCGGGAGGGAGGAGCCAGCTCCCCACCTGGGCAGTGAGGAGCCCGGCCAGGTATCTGTGGACGGACGGATGGACGGATGGACGTGAGTCCTCAACCAGGTGAGGGCGGAAGATGCCAGGCCCCGGGGATCAGCTAGCATTTGAATTCAGCCGCAGAACAGCAAATATTGATTCAAGAAGCTGCCCAAAGGAGCTGACATTTTATAGTCAACAAATCAAACCCAGCCCTTCCCAGTGCCCCTGGGCACAGGCCCTTCCTCTCCAGGCTGCCAGGGCCCAGCTCTGCCACCGCCGTGGGAAGAGGAGTGAGAGCGGGTGGGAAAGGTCCACAGGGCCTGGCTGGTGTGCTCACTTCACCTTTCGAGGGGAGGAGGAGCCCCCCCTGTAGGGGTGGGACCTGGGGAACCAGCCAGCCAGCCTGACAGGTGTCAGAATCCCCTGGGACAGAGCAGGACCTGGGCTGAACCCAAAGGACAACAGACACACACCCCACACAGCTTCTTCCTGGGGTGGCTCTCTGCTCTGTAGCACGGCCTGGGGCCCCTCATTCATGGATGAGGAACTTGAGGTCCAAAGAGAACAGTGCCTCTCCAAGGTAAACAGCAGATGGACAACGAGACCCCCTCACCTTCTGTTCAGGCAGAAGGAGGGCCCAGGCAGCCGCAGTAAGCAGGCAGATGCTGCCCCTGCCCTCTGGCTCTGCCCACATGACTTGAACCTGCACTCACGCACCTGCCTGCATCCTTTGCTCCAGCAGGTCTCTGACCTGCAGTCACTCCCTTCCATAACCTCCTTGGAATGCTGCTCACCACTCCCGCCCGGCCCTCGCCGAGTGCTCCGAAGCACAGGCTGGTTCCCGGTCGCTGGCACTTAGGCGGCTGCGCCTGGGGTGCATCACCCTGGCCTTGTCTCAGTCCTTCCAGACCAAGAGCCCCAGCGAGAGCAGCGGCTGCGCAGGATCCATTCCTGTTGCCTCAAAGAGCCTAGAAAAGTGCCTGGTGTTGAGCAGACCTTCAGTGTCTGTGCAATTGAATTAGAACAACCCAAGGCACTCGATGCAGAAACCCAGGAGCAAATTCGGCTGTGTGTGAACCAGGGAGGAGGCCGAGGAGCCCGGGCGGCCCACGGCAGGAAGGAGGCGTGTTCCTTCTCTGCTAGCTCAGGCTCAGCCTGCTCCTCGCCCATCCACCCATCGCGGAGGGGTTGAGCCTCTGTGTGGGTCAGCCCTGGCTGGGTGCCATGAAGGCAAAGGCAGGGAACTCACGCTCTGCATTCCGTGTGGAGCTTCTGGAGTACGCGGGCATCCTGGCCAGGGACCCAGAGGCACTGGAGGGTGCATTTTCCCGGTCCAGTGATGAGGTGTTTGCATGGAGCTAGCTCAGGGCAGAGGTGGTACAAACCCCTCTGAGCTGGGCACACAGTGCAGATTTCATCACCTACATGAGACCCTCTAGGAATCTCTCTTGTCCTAAGCAGGCAGTTCTGTGGCCTAAGGCCATAGGGCCACCCAGGGATCAGTAGTGGGGGAGCTCCCTACTCTCCACAGGAGGCCTCCATATATGGTAAGGGTGTGTCCAAGGCGACTGTCCCCCCTGTCACCAATTCTCAGACATCAGGAAGGGAAGAAAGGACATGCGGACCAGCAGTTGATCTTTAGGAAGTTGACCCAGGAGCATTTGTTTTTTGATCATATCTGGTCTGCCTAAACTTTGTCATGTGGCCATACCTACCACAAAGGCCTCTGGGAAATGTAGTTTCTTGTGGGGCAGCCACACATCCAGCTTAAACTTGGCAAGGTTTATTGTTCAAATGAAAAAGAGAGTATGGATACTGGGGATAGTTGGTGGTCTCGGACTTACTCCCACCCACCCTGAACAGTGCCTGGTTCTCCTCATGGGCCTTCCATGCCTCCCCCCGCCCCCGCCCCCAGCTGGATCGCCAGCCACCATCCAGCTCTGAATGACCTTGGGCGTCCTTTTCCTCATCTGTAAAAGAAGAGTTTCAGACCACGGATCACTGAGGTTCCTTCCAGCACTGCCACTTGACGTCCGTGGTTACAGGCGAGTTATTCAACCTCTCTGGGTATCAATTTCCTCATCTAGAAAAGAGAGATTAAGATAGTTCTGACCTCAGAGGCTTGTTGTGAAATCATCCCGGGTTATGCCTGACATATAAGAAATAATCAATAAGTGCTTGCTATAATCAAAATAATCTGAGTTCCGTCTGTCATTTCCTTAGGAAGAATCTGATGTACTGGCTCATACCGAGGCCTCACACAGGGTCAGTAAGTACTTGGCACAATCCCTGCTCTAATCCTCCCTCTGTAACAGGAACAGACGTCTTTAATCCATCAAGACGTTCTCCGTGTGAGCCAGGAGCCAGCCTCACAGGCCTCCATGCAGCCCCGCCAATCAACCCAAGATGGCACCCCCTCCTCCAGGAAGCCTCCTTGCTTCAGCCCCAGGTATGCGCCCTGCCGCCTGCACATGCTCCTCTCGTGCTTGTGTTATGCTCGCCTGTGATTTCCTTTTTGCCTGCCTGTGCCCCAGTTAGACTGAGGGCTGCTTTGGTCTCTCCAAGATCCAGCCCAGTGCCTGGAACATTGTATATATTGAAACAATGGATGCTAGACCCTGGGGCTGGCAAGTGGAGATGTTTAGGGGTGGGCAGTGGCTACGGGACCATCTCACAGAAGACCATGTTCCCTGCCTCTGGAAGCTGCCACAGGAGCTGTGGGGCGGGTCTCCCAGCCCAATGGCCCCTGCAGGGCAAGCTGGACACTCCCAAGGAATCTGGGGCAGCCAGCACATGTGGGGACTGAACCAGGCCAGTGAACATGGTGGCCCCATGATTTCTCTGAGGGACCTGCCCTCCCTAGGGCCTGTGCTGTCGGCCTGCACCTCAGGCTCCAGGCTGCAGGGCGACTCCCAAGTGAGCCAGGCACCTGCTTTCTACTCCAACAGACTGACACTCAGTATCACCTTGGCGACATAGAGCATGAGGGGGAGGGGAGCGGGGGACCTGCCACCTGCCTGGTTACCCCAGAGAGGTGCTCGCTGCTGGGGCTCAGGCCGGCGGGGTAGGGGCTGTGGGCACACTGTCCCTGAGCTGCGTGGGGTGCCCACTCCTCTATGGAAGACAGGACTTTTTCTCACTGATCTCTTAATAAGCCTTTACGAGGTTCAGAAGGTTAACGTTGAAGGGAACAGCCGTGTTTATCTTTCGTTTTCTGTCTGATTTCTTCAGTGGCCTTTATGGGTAGGAAGTTCTTTACCATTCAAACCGGCCCATGCTTCTCTGGTTTCCTGCGACAGCTTCACCTCTACCTCAGCGTTGGCCCAGCCCGCCCCGGGTTGGCAGGTGGCTGAATGCTCCTGGGCTTCTGTTTCCCCAGAGCGAGGGGGTTGGGCTAAACCAGACCTTCCCAACGCCGTCCGACATGCTTCGTGGAAAACGGGTTTCCTGGGCAAAGACGTTTGGAAAATGCAGGTTGCATCAAAAGTTCTGAGAAATCATACAATAAAACAGCGATTTGCAACCGGTGTGCCGCCAGAATTTTGACAACACGTAATACCTGCCTGTTTGGTCAGGGGCACGACCTCTTTTCCGGCTCAGGGGATGCCTCGTTACCTGTGGTCACCCCCTTCCACAGAGGAGCGAAGGGAGGCTCTCCCACCAGCTGTTTTAAGCCTGATTTTGTCCTCATTAAACTTTAACCCCATTGTTCAATGGTCTCTGAAGAGACGGTCGGAGGTCATAATATTGCCGTGGGCTTGCTCCTCCTTCAGCTGTCCCCCTAGTAGTTGACATTTGTTCCTGTTTTACCTTAAAATGCGAACAACGCAATGATGGACAAACTTGCCCGTTTTGCATGTTTTATTTCCCGGAGGTAGATTTCTGGAAGTGGCGTCACCGGGTGAGAGGATGTAAACTCGTTACTGTTCGTCCTGTGTGTTGTCAAGCAGGTTTCCAGAAAAGAAAGGCCGAGCCCCCCACACCCCTGAGCAGTGTGGGCCGCGCCAGCCGAGGTGGACCAGTGACCCGCTAGGGCCTCCGTCCTGTTCTCATCCACTGGGACGACCCCTGAAACGGACCTGACCCAGCCTCGCACTCATGAAAACAGGTTAACCAGTAACTGGAAGCAGTCAGTCCCATAGACCCGTGGAAATCCCCGGACCCTTTCCCACAGAACCTAATTGTCATAGGTAATAAATCCAGAGGGAGTGGCGAGTCCTGCCAGCACTCTGGCGTCAGCAGCTCTGTGCTGCGGTCTCAGGTGTCATCTGCTGGGACAACGCCAGTCCTGGTGAGAAATATGGGGCTTGGGGTCTGTCGTCATCACGCCAGGCAATCATCATCATTCCCAACATGGACTGAGTATTTACTCAGGACATTGTGCGGATTAACTAGTCCAGTTCTGATAATAATCCTAGGAGAGAGGCTTTCTCACTATGCCCATTGTGGCAGTGGGATGAGGAAACGAAGGCACAGAAAGGTTGAGTAACTTGTCTGAGGTCACACAGTAAGTAGGTTGTGAAGACCCAGGGGATGGGGCTGAGACAGGGGAAGCAGTGGGCCTGTGCTCTGCAGCTGAGGAGTGAGCAGGCAAGCTCCTAAACTCCCAGAAACTCCGAAACTGTCTGAAAACCAGGACCCTGACAGTTTCCAGTGAGGTAAGGTGGTGCCTGCTGTCCTGGCCTGTCCCTGAGCCTCCCCAGCTGCTGTTCCTCCCGCAGCCGCCTCTTCTTCCTTAGCTCTCTATGCGGAGGGCTGCCCGAGCCTGGACCCAGCTTCCCCAGCGCCTGCCTTTTGCATAGGACGCAGCTCTGTCACCTTTGGGCCTCTGAGGATCATGTCCCCCTTCTGTAGGGGTCCCTCTCCCCAGCCCGACCTCCCCGTAGCCTGTGGCTTTATCTACTCCACTCTTTTTAAAAAATATATATTTTATTGATTTTTTACAGAGAGGAAGGGAGAGGGATAGAGAGTTAGAAACATTGATGAGAGAGAAACATCGACCAGCTGCCTCCTGCACACTCCCTACTGGGGATGTGCCCACAACCAAGGTACATGCCCTTGGCCGGAATCGAACCTGGGACCCTTAAGACCGCAGGCCGACACTCTATCCACTGAGCCAAACCGGTTAGGGCTATCTACTCCACTTATCTACTCCACTCTTGACCCGCGCCCCCCATCCAGACCTTTCCTCCAGCCCACAAAGGGGGCAGCAGAGCAGGGTGAGGCTCAGGAATGTACTGGTCCTGGTGGGAAATGCATGTCTCCTGTGGATCCAGCTGCAAAGTACATATGAAGCAATTATTTACCAAAGGAAAAGGCAGTAAAGGAGCTCAACAAATATTTGCTGAATGGGGACCACAAACGCCACTTTCCGTGGTGCACACTCAGAAGCGTCTCCCATGGGAAAGCACTCTGACTCTGAGGGCCCTGCACATGTGCACGGGAGCCCTGAGCCCTGACCCGCAGTGAGACACAGGAGCCTCTGGGGAGGAAGTGTCTGGTGCAGTGACTTCCAGTGAGTCCATGGCAGCTGGTGTCGAGGCTGATGTGCTAAGCACCCCAAAGGGACTCGGGAGGCACTGGAGTGAGTAAATGCCCACAGTCCCTGTGCTAGAGGGGCTTCTCTGAGCGTCAGGCCTTGAGGACCATGTCCCCGAGCTCACTGCCCTGGGACGCAACTGCTGGATACCTGCCTGGGAACCTCAGGGAGGGTGGAGGTGGGGTGGGGGGGTGGAGCAGGAAGGAGGCAGCTTTTATCCAATCATAGAGCCCATCTCAGACCAGAGGCACCAGCGTTTGTGCCCAGGATGGGGAGGGCTTCCCTCCCTCCCAGGCTTCCACCAGCCATTCCAGAGAAGGTCGCCCCTCCTGACTCCCAAAGGGATGCTGGGGTCTCGGGGGTAACTGCTGAGGATCGCAAATAGCCTGGTGACCTGAGGTCCGAGATTCACTCACACACACACACACACACGCACGCACGCACGCACGCACGCACATGCACGTACGCACAACGGGTTTTGTGGGTGGCACATCCTGCAGCTCCAGGCCACTGGAGACAAAGTCCTGCTCATCCCTGCAGGCTCATGAGTCCAGGGACGACTTGTGGGGAGATGGACAAAGGGTAGGCGAGCGTTTGGAGGGGCATCTCCGGAACAGGCTGGAAGAGCAACGCCCCGGAGACTGGACTCGAGGACGCTAGCTTGGAGGCAGTGGTGGCCGAGACTGAGCTAGGGCAGTGGGTCCAAGAGAGAGGACTCGGTGAGGGCAGCACGGGTGGTGGAGCACGTGGATGGTCGGTTGTGCTGGGGTCTGGGAGGCCAGGGCGGCAGGCAGTGCCCGGGCAGATTGGAGCCATTGCCCACCTGCTGGCTCTGCTCGCGGGCGGTGGGGACAGATGGAGTCAGGCCTGGGGCTGGGGGCCCTGGGTGAGAGACCCAGGGGGTCGGGGTCACGCCTGGCTCCGTTTCCCCTCCTGGGCCACTTCTCCCGCTGCCTGGGCCACACTCTGTTTTTAAATGCTTCATGTTGCTGGCGGTTCAGACCTCCATCTGTTGTGACGTCTTTCTCACACAGGAACCGGCAGGTGACTTCCCAGTCCCTCCTGACGTTTCCTTCTGATTCACCCTTCCTGAGGCTGTGTGACCTTGGGACCTTGACTTGATGTTTACCTTAAATGTTTATCTGAGTCCACATCGGGCTTGGTCTGGGGGTTTAGATTTGCTTTGCTGGGAGGCGGGGAGGGGGCCTGAAGGGTTAGTCAAAATATACTGTTGGTCTCCATTTCAGCGCCTTTCAGCTGAGCCTACACTCAGTGCCACGCTGTGTGACAGGAGCTGGGTACGTGGAGATGGGTAGGACATGCGCTCTCCCTGAGCAGAACAAGGGAAGATGACATAGGAGCCAATAAACCACCAGGCGGAGAGATACATAGAGGCAGAGCTCACTGCGGGACACTGAGACACCACCCAAGAGTGAGCTTGACAGTAGGAAGGAGTGTTCAGGGAACACCTTCTGGGGGAGGCGACATTTGAGCTGGGTTTTGAAGGATGCATAGAAGTTCACTCCTGGTCCATAGTAGGGAAGGTCGGCAGGCATTCCAGCAGGAGGAATCGCATCTGTAGGGCCTGGAGGACTGAATGGGCATGATGAGTACAGATGATGGTAATCAGTAAAGCCCTGCTGGGGGGCTGGGTGACTGAGAGTGACCCTGGGGAGAAGGCGTTCACCTGGGAGAACAGTGCAGGCAGCTCTTCGCTGAGCGCTCTGTAGCCTCAAGCTGCATGTGATGGGCGTGTCCTGGCATTCTGCATCATGCCATCTTTTGCCCAGGACCGTCTCTTGTCTTGCCCTCAACCTCCCCTGCCCCTGATTTTGGCCCTTCCATGACAGTCCAGCTCTGGGCACCTTTCCCAGCCACACTGCAGGGGCTGGAGCTGCTTCAGTGGTGCG